CCCCCCCCCCCCCCGCCTTAACAGAAGGTCTCAAGGAATATTTCTGTAAATTCGGAGACGTGAAGGAGTGCATGGTGATGCGGGATCCTGTTACAAAGCGGTCAAGGTAAGTGAGCGTCTTTCTCTCTTTCTCTGTTCCTTGCTTGCTACTTGGTTACACTGTTCGCAAACTTCGCTTTGGAGGGAAAGGGATGTTTGATTTTTTTTCCGTGTAAAACCTGAATTCCATTCCCATCCTGACTGTGACACGGTATTTCTCTTCCTGGCAGACGCGTGTTACAGCGAATTAAATTGTGAATGTTCCCTTTCTTTTATTTTTTTCTCTCTCTGTCTGCTTTTTCAGAGGATTCGGATTTGTCACTTTTGTTGACCAAACGGGCGTAGATAAAGTTCTAGCGCAACCGAGGCATGAACTAGATTCTAAAACGGTAGGTGATTTTTTTTTAAACAAATTAAGTGGAAGAAATTTAATAGCTGTGGTGGCAGAGGTGGTTATAGACAGGCAGGTTTGAGATTCACTTCTCCCCCCTCACCCTAATTTTTGGCTTTACAAAGACATAGACACCGAGCCTCACGTCATGTGTTTGCTTTTACAATCCACACATGTTTCCCCCAAGTTTCCCACACTGAAAAGTCCAGCTGGTTAAATAGTACAGTGCAAGAGCCCAGAGTGTGTAGAGAGAGAGAAAAAAACTTGGGATTGGGAGGAATGGGGTTGGGGGGAGATGGGGGGTGGTATTAGAGAGAAAGAAAGAGAGTGCCTGAGCGTTCCCACGGCGATCATTGCCATGGCAACAGGGGCTGCTTGTGGGGGAGAGATCTTAAATAGGTCAGCATTCATTCATCAGGCCAGTACTTAGTGACATTAACAAGATGACCGACTTTCTTGGACTGAGAGGCGAATGAAAACCTGTTTCCTTTTTCAAAAGATCTGTTTACTGAGGATCTTTGAAGTGCTATCATACTTCAGTGCAGGGATTTATTTCATTTTTATTGTGTTGTACAGTTTTATCAGAATGCGGGGCAAGGTCTGTGTGTAACAGGATTGATTAAACTGGGACTGGAGATTGTCTCCTGGCAGCAGATCAGTGCAGAATGCCCAAGAGAGTGGATTTGGAGTGTACTGATGGTTTAGTTTCTTGTCTTTCTCGTCCCTCGGTCACATCCCCCACTCCCTCTCTTTCACACTGTGTTTTACATTCTTATTCACTAATCTACTTAGTGACGGTCTTGCTTCTAAATCGGCTCGAACATCAGGTCAGCAGTTTGCTGCTTTTTCAGCTTATTGAAGATGACCAGCAGAGGTGATTGGGAGGGGTTGGGGAGTGAGAGAATATTGAAAATTTTATGCCTTTATCATGATTTTTTGAGTGTTATAATTAGCAAGCATTGTACCCCTGATTATTCTGTGTTAATAAAGATTAGAAAAATTAATTGGACTTCCAGTGTGGACTGTGTAGAACTGTGTATCACTATGCTATCAGATAGCATGTTAAATTAGCATGTATGGTATATAAATCACAGGAGCATACAGTGCAGAAGGAGACCATTCAACCCATTGAGCTCATACCACTCTTTTTTTTAAAATCTCATTAATCTCATTGCCTACTCTCGTCCTTTTCCCTTGTGTTTCCATTGCCAAGCATAGATCCACTTGTCCTTTTGACCTTTGCTATTGACTCTGCTTCCAGCACACTGTTAGACAGTGGATTTTAGACCCTCACAATTTGAGGGCATCTGATCACTTGTTCTCATCTGCCTTGCCAAGGCAGTTGCCATCCATCGTTCAGTTCTTTGCCCAGGTAGACATAGTTCATGCCGTATGTGAACTGGATTGCTGACAGATGATGTGCTGTATTGGCAGCTGAAACATCCTAGGACTTTAGATGGCTGTCCTCATTCATGTGCACGTTCCAGCTGGGTGTCCTGGATAATCATTAGCAGCTCGAGACTTTTGGACATCTGTCTTTGTGGCCCGGACGTTTGATTTGAATAGTTTACCAATGACTTTCTGTACTGAGTATCAGTATGAACTGAGATCAGTTTAATGCAGCACTAAATTTCTTTTCCTGGATCTGTTCATAAACCAGGTTTTGCACTGATGTTAGAAAATCAACTTGCAAATGATAGTCATAAAGTTTCCAGAAGAAGGAAGCTTGTATCTAGTCAGGGAAAGTTAACTCATTTAGGCTTGTGGTGAGTTTGAGTTATTCCACGAGTAATTGGTGAACAACGGTCGTATTGGGAAGAGATCTGTGACAAGGTCCTGGACCCAGCCTTGATTCTGAAGCTTGAGAGAACCTGGAGAGTAAAGAAACGAAAGAAATCTGTAGACTCTGTTGAAGGTTTACAATGTTTTGGGTTTTCTCCATCTAATACTACTAACTAGACTTTGGCTGCTTCAACATTAGAGTTCTAATTTTATTCACTGGGGTGTGGGTGTTGTTGGCTAGGCCAGTATCTACTGTATTCTTCTACTTTATTCAAATGGGTAATATTTATCTGTATGTTCTGTAGACGCAAGCAAGTGGGGCTATGGCGAAATTTTTAAGTTTTGTTCTTGAGAGTGTTATTGTGAAGGTAAGCATGTATTGCCCTAGGGTAGGTCATGGTGAGCTGTTGTACTGTTGCAGTGCTGTCAGGTGGGAAAGTGTAGGACTTTGACCCACCAATGATGAAGGAATGGGGTTATACTTCTGAGTCAGACTGGGGTGTGACTAAGATGGTGGTGGTCCTACACAGCTGTGGCGGATGTTGTTGTAGATGCTCCTAGGTATGAGAGGTGCTATTGAAAAGGCTGTGGTGGATTGCTGCTGTGCACCTGTGATGCAGTCCGCAGATGTGATTTGCTGGTGGTTGAGGGAATAGACGTTTAAGCTGATTAGGGGTTCCCAATGAAAGGGGCTGATTTGTCCTGTATAGTGGTGTTGGAGCTGCATGCATTCTGGCATGTGACTTACACCCAGATAGTAAAGAGATGGAGTGATGTAGTGCATCACAAACTAGACCCTCAGCGTCACGCATGCTGAGAGCTGTAGTATTTAGAGGGCTGGTACTGTTGAGATTCTGGTTTGTGCTGACCCCTGGCTATTTAAATGGGGGAAGGTTTTGATAATGCAATTGAATGTCAGTGGGATGGTGGTTCGGCTGTCTGCCTGGCACCTTTTTTGCAATGTGAATGTCACTTGTCATCTGTGTAGCCTAATCCTGGAGGATCAAGGTGCACGGGTTGCTTTGAGATCTGCAGACTTACATGTGGCATTGAACATCGCAATTATTGGTGAAGAGCCTCACTTTCTTCCTAACAGAAGAGAGTTCAAGATGAAAACATTGATTCACTTCCAAGCTTGAATTGTGTGTGACATGGAGGAACATTTGGGGATGATGGTCCCATAGAACTGTTGTTATAGTTGGTAGCGGTTGTAGGTGTGTGAGGTGCTATCAAAGAAGCTTTGTGTGGTGAGTTGCTGCTGGAGAGAAGGTAAAGAGATTTGATTGAAGTTTTCAAAATTGTAGATCTGGATTGGGAAGAGAGGGAGAAACTGTTCAGGATTGTAGAAGAATCAAGAACCAGAGAGACAAGGTTCAAAACCTTTTTGCAAAAGAAGCAAATGCAAATGAGAATAACCTTTTACATACAGAGAGGAATTATGGTCTGGAATGTCCTGCCTGGACATAGAGTGGAGGAAAGTTCATTTGTATTCAGGAGTACTTTGTTTTTATTTAATGAATCATCCAGTGTGTAATGTTACAGGGAGGGATTGGCACTATGTTGAAATAATCAGAGCTGATTCAGACACAGTGGGCTGAATGACCTCCTTCTGCTTCATTACAATTGTGTGAAGATATTGGAATTAAAATATTTTTCCTGATAAACTCTTCCAATAAATCCTAACCCTGAGTCATTTGGCTCTAGCAACCACCCCATTATCTTTTTGTGCCGGGTAGACTCCAGCCATAGTTCCCGTTAATCGGTTTTCCTGGGATTCCTAAGTGCAACAACTTGTCAAACCTTGACTTGATGTTAAGGCCAGTTGCGCTCTCTTCACCTCTTGAATTCAGCTTTGTTCTTCATATTAGGACCAAGGCTTTAATGAGGTCTGGAGCTGAGTGTCCTGATGGACCCGAGCTGACCATTATTGGGAATGTTATTTGTGAGTAAATATCGCTTAATAGTACTTGATGTCTTTGTTTAGAATATTGGCTGATGGGGTGATAGCTGGCCGCGTTGGATTTGTTCCGTAATAATGGACAGGAAATACATTGACGATTTTCCACATTGTTGGTTAGATGCCACTGTTGTGCAAGAACAACTTGGTTAGAGCTGTGACTACAATTGGGAACTATGTTCAGCCATTTTTGACTAAATGAATGGTACCTTTTAGTGGTGGAGACCAGGGGAAGAGGCCAAGACAGATTCTCACTTGGTAGCTACAAATGAAGATAGTTGCAAATACTCCATGTATTTCTAGTCATGCTGGGCTTTGCCATCATTGAGGATGGGGACGAGGAGCTGCAGTTAGTTGATTTGAATATGATCGTTTGTGATGATTGGAGTCGAGTTGTGGAGTTTTGACCTCATCTGTTGGTTGTGGGATCTTTTCCTTACTATGATGCCTCTGTTGCTTCAGGTTTGTTTTTTTTTTTTATTCATTCACGGGATGAGGGCATCGCTGGCCAGGCCAGCATTTGTTGCCCATCCCAGAGAGTAGTTAATAGTTAACCATTTTGCTGTCGGTCTGGAGTCACTTGTGGGCTAGATCAGGTAAGGATGGCAGTTTCCTTCCCTAAACTGAGGGCATTAGTGAAACAGGTGGGTCTTTCCAAAAAACAACAATAGATTCATGGTCATCATTAGACCCTCAATTCCAAATATTTATTGAATTCAAATCCTACCATTTACTGTGGTGGGATTCACACCTGGGTCGCCAGAACACTATCTGGGTCTCTGGATTAACTGTCCAGTCATAATACCACTAAGCCATTGCCTCCCCAGGTTTAGCATGCATTTGTCTTGCACTATTGCATTATTAGTTTAGCACCTTATTGTCAGGCAGACAGGTCCTTGGAAATCTAATTTGATGGAGGAGTGAGGTATGGTACCATAATGATTAGTATTTGGGTTATCTAGACATCTGGATGAATGGTTCTCAGACATGGTTTTAAGTCCCACCATGACATGAGGAAATTTAAATTTAATTTGATTGATAAATCTGGGATGCAATGCTGGTCTTTTTTAATAATCAACAAAGCTAGTCAGTTGTTGTAAAGACTCATCTGTTTTGGAGAAAATTCTTACATTACCTTACCTTACCTGACCTGGCTTAGATGCAACTTCAGATCCACAGCAATTTGACTCCAAACTGCCTTCTGAAATGGCTTAGTAAGCTAAGGACAATTAGGGATGGACAATAAATGTTGGCCTTGC